ATAAACCATTGTGTGTACTCCATTGTCTTTTAAAAATGCATCCATCTTTTTTTATTGTCATTTTTGTTTGTCTTTTAAAAAGATTTTTATTCTTTTTATTTAGTAAAAATTTATATCACTTTTTATATTTTTTCTAATATAAAAGACAAAATACAATAAAATATATCTACCAAAACTCCATACTCCCTTCGTCTCGGAACAAGAGTGACGTTTGTTTTTTGCACGTAGATTTTTTAATACGAATATTATAATATATTGTAGTGAAAAAGACAAAAATATCTCTATTAGTATTTTCTAATATAAAAGTAATGACATTTGTGTAATATAATGTAAGTTGGAAGGATATTTATTATGTTAGGTAGGTAGTACAATTACTAACTTAGAAAATAATAACATTATTTTGAGACGGACAAAAATAAAAAATAGCAACCTTTCAATGAGACTACTGGAATATATTAAATAACTAGTGTGTTTTTTTAACCGTAGTTTAGCCAAATTTACTGTTTGACCATTGTGCCAGTAAAAGAAGCGTCAAACTTGTGCAGTGGGACAGCCTAGGCGGGCCTGCTGGTAGCATAGGATGTAGGCTGACCAATTTGACCATATGTTTTATTTTTTTTATTTTTCTTTAATTTTGTTTTTTTATTTATGACAATATATGCATAAGTGTAATTAGTTAATCATTTAATAATGTTAACCGTTATAATTTAATAAAATATATAAAATATAGTACTTTCTCAGTCCAGCAAGGATGACTCAATTTGTTAGGGATATAATATTTTAGGTAGTATAAATTAGTAAATTATTAATAATAAATTATTTTTATATGAATAATATTGTTGCAATTTTGAATATATTTAGAATTATATATCAATAAAATAAAATTTGAATATTATTTTGTAGATAATAAAATTTTATATCATACAAATAAATAAAAAAATATATATATTTATTTATTATTAGCTTAAAACTATTTTTATTAAAAATAAATTTTATTAATATAGATAAAAGTATTTGTTTATTTATGAAAGAGATAGAAATAAAAATTTTGAGTAGGCCTTACGGGGATGGTTACGGTACTGATTTATGCTGATTTTTCACAAGCGTTATATATACAAACAACACACATTAGTATTACAAATAATACATGTTGTGTATAATAAAGATATGTACTGTTTTTTAATAATAATAAGTTTGTTGTATACAAGTATGATATATGCTAAAATCAACTGTTCTTTGTGTTGTATAAGACTATAGCATGTGTAGTTAGTTGATGTGCCATATTTGTATTATATTAACATATACAATGTGTTGTTTGTAGTAATATTGTCTGGTGTCCGTAGTAATATCGTGTGTTGTTGAAACTATAATATATGTGTTGTTCATGTGTTATATTTGTATTATATTAACATATATAGTCTGTTGTTTGTAGTAATATTATATGTTGTTCAACACAGTGCTGAATTTTAAATTCAGCACTGTAGTCGCCGCAAGGCCTTACGTGTAGGAAGTTAGAAATTTAATTAAATTGATTTATATTTGTTAAATATGTTTAAGATAAATAAATTTATTAAAAATAGAAAAAGATCATCTTTTGTGACACAAATAAAAAAAGAAAAGAAAAAAAGGTATATATGGGGGATGGAGGAAGTATATCATCTTATAATTTTTTTTATATAATATAAATAAATAAAAAATATTAAAATTTATTTATATTTAATATAAATTTATACTCAAATCACACTATTATTAATTTTATAAATTTAATTTAATATATATTTTCACCATTACTTTTAATTACTATCAAATCAATATACATCACAATCTTCGAAACTCAATCAAAATTTACAAATTTAAAAGAACACAGAAATCTAAATCTATTCTAAAATTAAAATCCAATTCAAAATCAAATTCAATTTTTTTAAACTTTCTCAAAAGAAACACATACAATACTGAAAGCAGTTTGTTTTTTTAATACTTTAAACTAAAACAACACTTTTAACTTATACAATTTCTAACAAAAATATACTCCCTCCGTCCCACATACCGTGTCTGCTACACCGTAGACACGGTATTTTAAGAGGGGTATAATTAGTAGATAATTAAGAATGCATTAGTGAAAATAATTTTCCTATAATATAAATTATTATAAATTAAGATTAAAATAACTAATTAGTTTAATTAAAATTAAAAAAATAAATTAAAAAAATTTAAAATAAGATTAAAGTGTATAATCATTTTTTAAAAAAGGAAAGTGACATGGAATGTGGGACGGACTGAAACGGCAACGTGAACATGGTGTATGTGGAACGGAGTGAGTATTATTTTTTTTTTATAAAACATCAAATTAAAATATTATTTGAAGAAAAATTCAATCAACACTTCATTATAAATATGTACTCCATTTTAAAAAAAACATGGGTTTTTTTATAAACCATTGTGTATTCCATTGTCTTTTAAAATGTATCCATTTTTTTTTTAATTTTTGTTTTGTCTTTTAAAAATGTCCTTATTTTTTATTTAGTTAAAATTTACATCATTTTTTTTTATTTTAACAAAAAATAATACTCCCTCCGTCCCATAACAAAGTATCAATTTTTTCATTTTAGTTCGTCCCATAACAAAGTATCCATTTCATTTATTAGTAATTGTACTATCTACCTAACATTACAAATACCCTTACAACTTACAATATATTACACAAATATCATTACATTTATATCATACATGCTAATAAGGTTATTTTAGTCATTTCTATTTTATTCCTACTACATCCCAATATAATACTAATATTTCTAAAACTACGTGCAAAAAGCAAATGAATATTTTCTTCTGGGACGGAGGGAGTAAAATATATTGATCAAAATTTCATATTCCCTGTCCAAAGAGCCCTTTGAGTTTTGGAGTAGATTTAAAAATAATAATATTTTATTAGTTAGTAGAAAAATGTGTAAGGTGTTTTGACATTTTTGTATATAAAAAGTAATTGTATGTATAATGATATATTTATAGTTTAGGTAAAAATTAAGGTTATTTTGATATTGGTGTATACTTTTAATAAAATAGAAAAGAAATACTTTGAAATAAGATAGACAAAAATAATAAAAAAAATACTTTAAGTTGGGACGAAAGGAATATGTTAAAACTATTGTCCAAATGTTTTAAACATAAATTTGAAATAGGAGTGTAGAGTATCATATATTTATGGAATAACTATTTATCTAATTATTGTATTATTCTCTACGTCTCATATATTTTGTCCATATTACTGTAAATATGATAATTTAGATAAAATATACTCCCTCCGTCCCAAAAGTAAGTATCCATTTGTTTTTTGCACATAGTTTAAAAATATTAGTATTATATTGAGATATAATAAGAATAAAATAGAAATGACTAAAATAACCTTATTAGTGTGTGAGATATAAAGGTAATAACATTTGTGTAATATATTGTAAGTTGTAAGAGGATTTGTAATGTTAGGTAGATAGTACTATTACTAAAAAAAAAATTGATATTTTGTTATGAGACAGGGTAAAATGAAAAAATGAAAACTTTGTTATGAGACGGAGGGAGTAATTAGTAAGTAAGTAGAGATTTTTACTATTCAAAGTTATTTTTCTTATAAAAAATATCAAATCAAATAATTACTTTTCTTTTTTATGTTATACCATAAATTTATTTTACATTAAAAAAATCACATCAACCTATATTTATATCACATCAAATAATTATTTAAATTCAACTTTTTACTATTAAAAAATCCAAATACAAAAACTAAAACCCACAAACAAACACATCCTAAGAAATATATTAGTAAAAAATAATTATTGTATAATAAATATAATTATAAATTATGATTAAAATAAGAAAATATTTTTATTAAGATTAAAAAAATTATAAATTATGAAGTTCAAAATACGATTAAAATATATAATTATATTTATAAAAAAAGAACAAATTATATAAAATGGACGAAAATGTAAAAAATAGATATTTTATATGGAATGGACAAAATATTCTATATATTTGTGAATTAAATATTAGATGAATGTAAAGCCGATGGTGAGTCGATTTGTGTCGGATTGAATACTTTAAATGGGTTAAATTACTCAACTATAATCCGATTCGTTTATTATTGTATCGGATTCGTGTTAACCCGTTTATTATTGTATTGAGTTCGTGTTAACCTGTTTATTATAGTGTCGGATTTGTGTTGACCCGTATATATAATTAAATCGGAATTCTTAATTCAAATTAAATTATTTTTTATTATATTGTCGTGTTATGTTAGTTTTTATTTGTTCGAATGTAATATATATAATAAATTAAATTGAATTATTTTAAAGTGAACGTAGTTTAAATTAATATGAGTATATTAAATTATAATTATTTTTTTATATATACTAAATATATTATAATCGGATTCTCATGTCGAATTTGAATTGAGAACCTGAACCTAACTCAATATGTTTACTATCATCTGGAATTAATGACGATCCATATACATAATTGGATTAATATATTTGATCCAAACGCAATTATTTTAAATCGAACCTGTGTCAAATTATCGTATTTGAATCAGCTTTTCGTGTCGAGTCTGTTTTTTCAAGCAATGAATGTATAGTATAGTACACAATACATGGAAATAGGAAATCAAATAATTTGTCTGAAGCAGCACTGCATTCGGACCCATCAACCACGTGTCAAACGTGTGCTGACTCAACTGCTTTCTTTCATCTGCATCCACTATCCCTTCCTCTACAGTTTGGTCCGTACGCACACCCAATTCATCACCAGACAACATACGATTCCGACTGCAACAAAATGTACGTACGGACAATCAGAAATACATAATACCACAAAATATACACACTCCATCTTTTCACCCCTCTTTCAGACAAACAACCAATCGATCGAAACGACAATGTAAGATTAACCTATAATTGCTCGATTCATTCATTATGTAGTGTTATATTGAAGCAGTTCGTTTCTTTCTTATGGGCATTTTGAAACCCTACTTGCCCATCTCCCAGCCCTACGTCGTTTTCTCACTTCTCCTTATTCTCCTCGACCTTTCCTCATCTTCCTCGAAAGACTATGGAGGCATCGCCGACACTACAAATCAAACCCCAGCTTCGCCGCCAATCGCTGTCGGATCATCGAAAATCCGCCAATTCAGACCAGGAATAGCAGCCCTTGTCGCGATTCTCACAATTTTCTGCGCAATTGTGCTGCTGCTGGTTCTGTACGCCAGAAATTGCAATTTCAGCGGCGGCTACGCCGCCGGCGGAGGCAGCTCGAGAGGCCATCCGGCGGCGGCGGCCGGAAAAAGTAGCTCCGGAATTAAAAAGAAGGTCGTCGAGGCTCTGCCGATGTTCAGATTCTCGTCGCTGAGAGGACAGAAAGAAGGCCTCGAATGCGCAGTATGTCTGTCGGCGTTCGAGTCCGAGGAGGTACTGAGATTGCTGCCGAAATGCAAACACGCCTTCCACCTCGACTGCATCGACGGATGGCTCGACGCGCACTCAACCTGCCCGCTTTGCCGCCACCGTGTCGGCGCCGAGGATTTGCTGCTGCTGGCCGACGACAGGGATCTGTACAATTACAGTGATCAATTGAAGGAGAATGAGCAATCGTCAAACCCTAGAAATTCCAGCCACCGTGACCGCGGCGGTTCGCTGGAAGTCATTGTGGAAAATCCGTCGGGACAGGATTTTCAAAGGAGGGTTTCGTTGGACAGATCGAAAACGAGGAGGAAATATTGGGGACAGGGACTGAGGAGCAAGTCTGTGGACAGCTGGAAGGTGCCGGCGGAGAAGGTAGAAGGGCGCCACCGCCTGGAGCACCGGATTATAATATCCGGCGACGGAGAGGCGGAGGAGGAGGAGGTGCGGAGACGGCGGTGGAGTGACGTGGAGGCGTCGGAGATTTTGTACCTGAAGACGGAATTGATCATGGAAGGTGGGAGTGGCAGAGATGTAATAAAAGGGAGAAGCGTGTCCGAAATGACAGGAGTGAGTAGGTATAGGAATGGTAAGAAAATGAGAGATGAGGAGCAGGAGAAGGCTGGGGCGAACAGATGGTGGTTACCATGGCGTTCACGGTCACATTCCAGGGATTGTCCACCAGTGGTGACCTCCGCCGCCGGCACCGATGCAGGTGGCGGCGGCCCTCCCCCTCCACCACCTTCTCTTTCTAATCATGATATTTGAATAGGAGAGGACTTTTCGTGTAAAGACTGAGCAATTATCTTGTTTGGACATGTGATTCATGATTGAGATATAAATTATATGATTTAATTTTGTTTTAAAATGGTATTGGTTGGTTTGATTTTGATTCGAGTCCAAAATCTCTTTATTATTAAGTTGTTACGACTTTGAATAACGTTACATTATTTTATTTTACAAAATACTATATTAAAATACGTTGGAATAAGAATTTTCAAATTTATTTTGGCATATGAACACATGCATGTTCACTTTATTTGTTGTCTTTCTTATATTATCATTTGTGGTTATTTGTCTTTTTTGTTGCTGCATCAACTTGCCTGTAACATGTTGGTTCATTCTTCTCAATATGAGAAGCTTAGAAAAGACAAAAAAGACACTTTTGGATAGTTAACTTGGCAACACAGATTGTGCAGAGACACTATACCTTTTTAGTGCAAAGGATTTTAATTAGGTTTGTCTTGCATGGTTGCTATATGGTAAGTCGTGTGAAAAATGTGGTTGTTTCGCCGGAGAGTTCGTCGGGGAAATCGGAGTCCCGATCAGGGGAACATTCAGTTTATGAGCAACCCAACTATTTGTTAGTTGTTAGTACGCGTTTGTGACAACCTATGCATGTGCAGGGATTTTCCTAGGTGAATAGCATTGTAGTTTGGGTTGAAGGAGTTTTTGTTGTTTTGTTCTTAATCAGTACTGATTAGTGAACTTCTCTTGTATTGGAATCCCCCGGATGTAGGTTGGACATAACCGAACCGAGTTACCAAATATCTTGTCCTTTTTTGTTTTGGATACTGCATTTATTTTATTGACAAGAAGCTGTTACAACTGGGATATAACTGCGCTTCGGAAGTTGATCCTAAAATAGGTGTTCGAAAGTGATTTGGTGCAGCACCTATTTCCCAACAAAATACTATTTAAATCATTTTTTTTGTAGAAAAATAAATAAATTTAACATGAAACCAAACACATATAGTATTCTCATCGCTTGTAACAATAATCTCATTTTTTTATTTAGAGTATCCATAAACAATAAATATTTTTTCTTGTTTGGTAAATAAGGATATAAAACTATCAAAGTACTTCTTTTAACACATTCCTTAATAGACTAGGGCCTCGGAATCCAATAGTGTGTTTTCTATACATGATCAAATATGATTATATGATAATTGTGTTAATTAATATACATGTTATAACCGGTCAAAGGAATCAGTCTGATTTTGAAGAAACCGTTGAGGAATCAAGCTGATGTCAAAGAATTATAGATGAATCAAGGTCAAACAAACGAAAGGCCAGGTTGATAGATACCTAGATCCGAGGAAGCGAAAATAAGGTTCAAGACCTTTGAAGAATTTGGAGGACAAATCCAATATTTTAGAGGAAATGACCAAATTTTTTTTTAAAAAAGTGAAACTCAAGAATAACGTAGAAGATGGAAAAAAGAAGTGGGCAAATTTATGAAAATATGAGTGGTTTTATAAATGACTGTCAATAAATAAAGCTTTAGTTGGCTCTAATGAGGAAAATTTCTGATAAAAATTGATGAAAACTTTTTGGCGAAACATCAAGAAAACTTAATGATGAGGATTCATTTCAGCTGAATGAATGAAAAATAATAGAAAATGAGTTACAAGAGCTTTGATGTAAAAGGAGTAATGCGAAAGTTACATGAGAGTTACTGAAGGAAATTGATGAACATTGATGAAAAGAGGGTTGATAATAGAATTGCAAAAAAAATTTGTTGAAGTTTAAGACAGAAACATAATGAAGAAAGTAATGAAAGCTTAATGGGGTGATTAAACCAAGAAAATAAAGAAGCTTTTAAAGGTTGATGCTTTGCAAGACAAAGGAGGACAACCAACACACCACAAACTTATCATTTTTTTTCCTTTGTTTTTATTTCATTTAGTTCTAATTTCATGCAAGTCATTTGCTATTTTTAATTTCTTTCCATTTGCTTTGCTTTCATTATGTTTTTTTTTTTTTTGTTTTTGATTTTCTTTTGATTTTGATTTTTTTTTTTTGTATTTAATCTTATCAATCATTCTTCAATTTCAATTATTTAATTTCATCCTAAGTGAAGCTAGTCCGAAGGCTTTCTTGAGTCGGCGGAGAACCCACTTTTTTCTCATTTCCAGCAAGTCTAACACAGATTGGGCATCCGAAACTGGAATGTCAGGTACAATAAATTAGCACGCCCAGTAGAACACCGCGCGTTTCGCTTTATTTTTATAAATTAAAAAGAAAATAATTAAAAAGATCAATGACTGAAAGAAAAAATATGAAATTTTTGGAGCTACAACGTAGATATTCTGTAGTTGAATATCTCTCAACCTTAACTTTTAAATATGGTATATTTATTAATTTTTGAAAATATATTTAATTATTTGCATATTTGTTTATTTTTCGAATACAAAAGGAAGTAAAATGAATATTTTTGGAATGCTTTGCAAAAAAAAAAAAAAAGACAGAAGGTTTGCATCAAGCAAAGCTTGATCTATATATGTTTCAATCGAAGAATAAGTCTTTGAATAATACTTTTTTCAAAAGATAATACAAAGAAGGTGGATAGAGGAATTTAAAATTTTTTCCATTTTAACGTAGAACCATTTCATGTTTCCCATAATGGTCCTTACTATAAAAAAATGATTGACACAATTGCATCTGCTGGAGTAGGAGTTAAAGGATTTATTGGTAAGCAAATTGAGGGTGAATATTTGAACGTGGAGATGCAAGGAATTGTACAATATGACAAATCTCTAAAACAGAAATGGAAGCCATATGGGTGTATAATTATGTGTAATGATTGGAGTACTCACACAATATCTAATATAAAATTTTATGGTGTATTGTGATAGAGATATAATATATCATATTTCGGTCAATTTTGCGAATAAGGAAAAAAATGTAGAATTAGTTGACACCTTAATGGATAAGGTTGTGGAATCAATAGAGTTTGATAATATTGTACGAATTATAACTGATAGTGAATATAGTATGAATGCTACTGGGGAAAAAATGATGAAGAAAAAGAAGCACATTTTTTGGTCTCCATGCGCTACACATTGCATTGATTTGATTTTAGAAGATATTTGAGTTATATTGTCAATAAACGATATGATCAAAGAAGCTGAAAGAATGATAAGATTGATATACAACAATGGCAAAGTGGTCAATCTGATGAAAACATATACAAACCGCCAAAATTTTTACGACCAGACATAAAAATATTTGTAACAGAGTTTGTTGCAATAGACAGTCTTTTTAGATATGCAACTGATTTGAAAACAATATGTACTTCTAGAGTATGAGTTGAGTATGAAAATACCTCAAAAAGGAGAAATAAAGCTGGAGATTTATCAAACATGATTCTGAATGAAAGATTTTGGAAATGAATACGTTGAGTTTGTGGGGTCATAGAACTCTTGGTAAAGGTTTTAAAAATAGCTGATCAAGATAATATATATATATACACTACCTATCATTTATGAGGCAATGGATAGGGAAAAAATGACAATTAAAACTACAATGAAAATTTTTCAGAAATATTGGGATATCATCGATGAAAGATGGTATAATCAATTGCATCAAGATTTACATGTATTAGGTAAATGCTATGAATAAGGTAAACATGTGAAACTTATAAATAGTTCAAATATTTTTTTTAAACATCAATATACGTATGTATATGCATTGTTAAATATCTACACATATTTTAATTTCTAATAAACTTATGTTGCATTGTTGTGACACATCGGCCTGTAAGCCACGCAAAGCCAAGTATGTTGGGATCATAGACTGGCTCCACACACAAGTTCTTCCGATGCACTTCTGTCCTCACTCACGCACTCCCTAGGAGACTTCCGAGGGGGTCACCCATCCTCAAATTACTTTAAAACAAGCACACATAAATCTAGAGTTCTTTCAGTAGGGCTTCCGAAAAAAAATGTGCAAATTGTTGACTTGAATAATCTATTCAATCAATTTAACATATATTCAACATCGGATGGCCTGGTACTAGTTCATCCATGGGAGTTGGCCTAGCATCGGCTCAACTCCAGAGTATTACAATTGCTAATAGAACCGTAGCTACATTGTTACCATGCATGCATTATAAAATTTAATATTCAATCATATTTTTTTAACATACTTTTTATAAATATTGCATAATTAATAAAGTTTCATTTATTTTTAATAGTTGACTAATAAAATATGTATAGTGATGAAGCTCCTAATTTAAGTAAAATTGCATTAAAAGTTAAGTCAAACTTGCACATCACTTGGTTGTGAGTGCAATTGGAGTATGTGGTCTTTGATTCATACAAAATTTCAGGATAGATTAGCTATTGAGAAATTGCACAAGCTAATCTATTTTCATTACAACACGCATCTTCGGGTGAATTTTTTTTTTTTTTTTATCAAAAGACAAACAACAATGATTTTTATGACCTAATTGATTTGAATCAAATTTTTAATGAAAATGATACTTTGGATGAATGGGTTAGAGATAATGAATCTCCACTTATTCACAATGGTGATTTGAATTGGTTGGATGAGGCTATTAATGAAAGTGAAGATGGAAGTCAAAGTCAACATAATGATCATGATAGTGATACACTTTTATCTCAATTCATGGCTGATGGAAAAAAAAAAAGACTAAAGAAACAAGATCGTAAAACAAAAATACATGTAAGAAAATAAATCTTCATCTTCATCAACCAATGGTGAAGATAAGAATAATAGCAACAATGATGCTGATGATGTAGTGGTGCAGGTGGTGGAAACTACATGGATAACCGATATTCAAGTGATATGGGATGAGCTCAAGAAAATAAAATTTATTATGCTACCCAAGACACTGATCATGGATATCGTCTTGGTGTAGACGCTCAAAGAGATTTTTTAAATAGCTTAACATAATTTTAAAGTGAAACCGGTGCTTTAAATTTCTCAAACACTATAAGATATTGTTGAGTTAACGAGCATATGAAGATTTGAATATATGTTAGGACGACATGAGTTTT